TTTTATTCATTACATGTCGCGAGACGTCAGACCCTGCGGCCGATTTCTCAAAACCGACGAAGTCGACGACCGTTGTCGCAAAAATCTGACGTTGCCCAATAACGTTTCGGCACGTCACCGGCTCTTGTCCGTCGACCCGAGTGAAAGCGCAAACAATACATGAAAATATCAATATCACATGCATGTAAATGTCATTAATATCAACAATGTAAGCATGACGGAGCCGCACGACCCGTTTAAACGCTCATCTCTATCCCAACGGTCTACACTGTATCAAAGGTTTGATATCCTTTTTTTTCCGAAACGCGCGGCTGCGGTGAAAAAATCGAGATTTGCATGATTAATTAGCAACTAAACAGGAGACAATTTCTACGCAAGTCCCATTCGATTGTGCTGAAGATTGATTATTGACTTTTTTCCGCGACGCTGATTGGTTCTCTCGCTGCGCTAACTTTGTGAGTGGCTGTCATTACATTGACTTTTGATAGTTGTATGTATTGAGGTTGATGTATAATTATAGTCAATTATAGTAAAAAGTAAAAGTGCAAATAATAGCGCGCGCGAAACACGCGTCTATGGTGCTAGTATTTTTAAAAATTATATATAAATAATTAGACTGTTAGAACTTTGTTTTTCTATTGTTTTTCTTAAGGGACAAATCAATTAAAATCGATTATGCAGGTACGTAGTCGCAATTGAGCAATTCTTAATCTTCAAAGAATGCTTATACTTCATATCGCACTTGTGCAATAAACAATGAATACTATCTAAATACTAAACTTTGAATGTTTTGTCATAAATACAAAAAGTAACGATAAAAATAACTGTATAATTCATTACCGTTACCGAAAATAAGTAACTATATTACCGTTACAGTTACTAAAAAAAAAGAATAACGCCGTTTCTAATCGATCCGTTACCAAAAAAAAATAATTGTAATGATAATGGCGTACAAGTAACAAGTTACTTCTAATTTCTGGTTGTTTTCAAAATACAATTTCTAGCGGGAACAGATCAGTTACTTAATTTAAAAATTTACAATATAAAAACATTAAATTAAAAAAAATTTTATTAATATATTAATATATTAATATTAATTGTTATAGGCATTATAGCATATAAAATGTATCAAATTTAATTAAAAATGATTTAAAAATATATTTAAAAAATGCTTTGATTAAATGTAAGTTGATTTCTAAATCACTCAAAAAGTTTTCATCGTTGAAATTTGAGGTAAATAAAAAAATCACGTTATTCTGATTTATCTTTTTTATGTTAGAAAAGAAGAAAAGTAAGATTAACTATTATAATTCTAATTATTGACCTGTAAATTATTTTAAAAATCATGATCTGGCATGTATGAATGTCATATACCTATGTATGTATAATACAGATTTTTATTACATGTAGTCATCGTAGGTGTCGTAATAACAAAACAAAAAAAGTAATATTTATAATAGAAAGTAAAAATAAAATATTAATTTATATCAATTCAATAAAATACTTAATTTTAAAATGTATTATGAGAATTATAAGTATAAATGAATTATTTTATCTCTCTCTGCAGTAGTTGATAGAAATATATAATTAATTGATTATACATATTATATACATATATTATATGATGTGTGTGTGTGTGTGTGTGTGT